CCTCTCCTTCGAACATCGTTTATATTGTTTGCCAGGTATTTTGTTAACAAACATTTGAAATAGTTCAGATTGTGTTCACTCTGTAGAAGAAGAAAAAACATAATATAATATTAAAATGTCGTAATATTTGATGGAACACCAGGATTATTATTTTTGTAGCCGGCCAAGAGCAAATAAAATAATTTTCTACAGGGAAAAATTGGTCCAATTCATAGGTTATGTAACGAAGCTGATTCAACAGCATGAATGAAACCCGAAGATTACAAATTCCGAGTATTAAATTATCAGCGAGAAATCTTTCGTGGCTTGTGTCTGGGTAAAATCTGGAACGTGGCAGGTGAGACTGAAGGAAACCACAATAAAGTTTTCAGTATGGTTGGTAATGAGGCCAGGATTTAAAAACCGTAACCCTGCCGCCCAAATGTTACCGCTACACTAACATGTTTTGAGGTCGACATTTTAAAACACTGGTTTCAGAAAATATGTTAAACTTTGCTGTGCAGCTCTCGTAAGAACACAGTTTTTTTTACTATCTAACAACACACTAGACGGTGCAAATATTACGTGCATTTTGAAGGCGATACGTACCTGTGTACTTGTCGTGGTAACTAGTGTCATCTGTCTGCGACCGCCATCACGAACTGTACGCACTACACTGGTCCACACAGAATCGTAGTCAATGGCTGACACTTTGTGCGCATGCGTAAACACAGCAATCAATACCATGTTACACAAAGTATTGATTCAGCGTTATTACGTTAACGCATATGAATGAAATTCCCCCTCATAACGTTGTGGCATGATTGTCTGTCGTGACTGGCTACCTAATAATTGGCTGAGCTACTGATTCGAGACGATGAAGCTATTTCCTTGCAGTGCCACTAAATGGTGAAAGGTAGTGACATCTATCGTACGATAATTCCTTCAAAACCGAGGTCTGACAGTTATATAACCGGACTGATTTAATTGTGGTTTATAAAACGTTGCTGTCAGTAGCTCAGACTTCGTAACGTCCATGCGTCGACAGGATGATTAATGTACA